TTATTTTAATCGGATGTTGGAAAGAGAAATGAGAAGTGTCAAATATTCACCCAACAAAATCTACCAAACTATGCAATGTGCCATAGTATGGAGTACGCCACAGCACACAAAGGTATGTCATGGGGCACCCTTATTTTTAGGCTACTATATTATTTTTAATAAAAATGCACATAATTTAAACTTTTCCAATATCTCATGCTTCCGTAATCATAATTTACTTTGATTTTAGTTTACTAAATAGTGTTTAAGTAATGAAAACTTGGGACTCTTTTTATGTATGTATTATAAATTTGGTAATCCATTTGGGTTAGCTAGTGATTATCTTAGTTTTGATGTTAATGGTTGATTAGTAAAAGCGACCTCATTTTTTGGACTAAATAAGATTTTTAGAAGATATTTTATATTACGGTTTGGATGGAGTATTAAATTTTGTTGAAAAATAATTACAAAATATTAAAAGTTATATAAAAAAGTTATTTAATCCCAATCTCTCTATGTGTGCATGTGAGGGAAAACCTTGTTTTACATTGTCACTAGTGTTTTTTTTTTTTGTTTTTAAGAGTTTAAGTGAGTTAGATTTGATAAGTTCACTAGAGCTAAAGTATATTTCTAGACTTAAAGAACACTTAATAAAATACTCACAGGTCACTCATTTATAATGTCTTCACATCAACAATAATATTTGATTTTATGATTGCCAAGAGGGGCTAATCTATTTTAAATATTAAAAATTAAAATATAATTAAAATGTTATAAATAATTACATAGTTAATATTTTTTCTACAATGTTTTATATTGTAGAATTATTGAACAATTAACTTATTGTTAATTTGTGAAAACTCAAATGAATTTAAAGTTTAAAATATTAAAATGAGGGGTGCAAAATATAAAAACTTATGCCCCTAGCATGTAATTTTCTTCAATTGGGGGTGGCATATGCCTACCTTCACTAACACATGGTTCTGTCATTATTTATAATTTTATAAGTTATAGGTTAAATTTTTATTAGTCAAACAGCCTCTTTTGGCAGGTCGTTGTTGTTTCCGGTTGATTTTTCCATTATCAAGTGAAAGCCATTCGTTGGGCCGAGATTTTTTTCCTTAAGAAATTTGCTGCAGAGACTACAGGATGAAGAAGAAACAACGCGAATCATTACATGATAGTCTTAGAGTTGAAGGAATAGTCACAAATGCCTTATTAAGTAAATTGCTAATGCTGACACAATGTCTTGGATTTTAGTCCATAAATCACGCATTCACGCACCATGTCTACTGTGGGTTGTCCATAACAATTTTACTACCGGTATGAAAACTTCATTGATGGGTGGACACTAAATATCTCTATAAATGTTCATTGAGGTTAGATGTATACTTTGATCTTAATGAGCTCTTGAAACTCAATTTACATAAACTTTTCATTATAACAAAAATAAAATAAAAAAATTACTCAACTGAGGTGGTATCTAAGGGATGAAGTGTCATACTTATCTCCGATCAAACATGCATATTTTTCACCAATATGATGGTTAATCCTCATTCTCAGTGAAGGTGGATTCAGCCCACGCAACAACCACTTCTATGGCAAATGAAAGTAAAGGGTAACTTTGCATAATTTTAACAATTTTTTTTTTTGGTTATACAACTTATGGAATATGTTCTGAATTAAAGGGGAAAAAAAACAATGCTATCTAGTCCTGCGTTCATACCAATGGAAAAAGAATTTCACTATGATTTTTGCTGTTGGTCGAAATTGAATGCTACAACTGTTGGATGAATTTGTTGAAGTTGGTTTGGCATTCAAAGATAGTGGGGTCAGCATTCACCAACTCTGTTTACCTTGTAAGGCAATCTCTAGACGAAGTGAAGAACCAAGTAAAACAACCAATCAATCCAAAAACACCCCGCACATCAAAAGGGATTATTACTAATTAATTAATTAAGGTGACTGATGTTTCAACTTTCAAATTCAAACTTGATCGCTTTCTCTTCTTCTCATTCTCATGCGCCTTCAATTAGCATAATTAACTCCTTTATCATTCATTCCTATTTGGTGGCATGGACTCCATTTTCAACCTCGCATGTATTCACCTCACATCATATTTTGATTTTTTTTTTTGGTTCCATATCACTTTCTACAAATTATATATTCTTTTCATTCATAAATATAGGGCATTTTTAATATTTTAAAGTATAATTAATATGTTTATTCAAAAATCTCTCAATAAATGAATCATTTTATATTTATTTTTAAGTAAAATAACCTATTAAATAAGAATAAATATGAAAAAGATGGTATTAGTTAAAAGACAATTAACAAATTTATTGATAGTAAGATTCAATTAAAAATGCTTTATATTTTTTAACGGAGGGAATGCATATCAAATTTTTAAAAATATTCTATCTTGTTATAAATTTTAGAGTAAAACACTAGTTTTTATCTTTCTATATAGTAGAAGAAACACACATACCTTAATTTGTACTCCCTCTTATCCTTAATATAAGATAAATTTTGAAAAAAAAATTAATCCTTAATATAAGACAAAGTTAGAGTAATTAATATTTTTTCAATTTTACCCTTTATTTATTTATTATTGTTTGCTATGATAATTAATTGCAAAGAAATAAAAAATTAGAAAGTTATATTTTTAAATAGTTTTAAGGATATAACTACTTTATTTTAGAAAGAGCGAAACTGACTATCAATGTCTTACAATATTAAGCACCGAAGAGAGTAGATGGTATGTTATAGAAGGAAACCTACCACCTCAACTTATTTACATTTTGAAAGAATAACACTTGAATGTCTTTTAATTCTTTCTGAACCACAATATAAAACATATTTTAAAAATATTGTTTTGTTTAGAATATAAGGCATTAGATAATTTTTATAATTATTTTTTTAACTATACTCCTATTTTATTTATTATAGTTTTTGTAAAAATGATGTGTAAGAATTTTAATTATCATTATCAAGATACTTTTATAAAATATTTAATGAGGATATAATTAAAAGATGTAACTTTTTTAAAAAAATTAAGGTTTCAATCAATATTTTTTAAGAACCTTAAATTAGTTATTAATGTCTTATATTTTGGCTAGGAGGGAGTATAATATAATGACTATAAGTATGAGCCGTAAATTTCAAAAAAATTCAATTTGTCTTTTTTCCCCCACTTTGCATGTAAGGATGTTTTTTCAACAACGGGCATAGATTGCTATGAGAATGATGCGTTCCCTGAATTGTGGTAACGGTGCAAGAAAGGCACGTTTTTTCAACGTTTGACTCTTTTGTCATTCAACACTATAATTAATCTCTTTGGTTGGCCATCCCTGGAATTGGAGTGGAGACACGGAGCCAGACAAAGTGTACGAAACATGACCAAATTTTAATGCAACATCGTCCGCTAATTTGAGAGGGTATCGTTACTATCTGTTTAATTTTTTTTTTTTATCATATCTGTTTAGATTAATTCCAACTTGTTTTGTATAGGATTTTTATTTCATACTTCAAAATTTGCATCTAAGATATTAGATAAATTAATCCAACTCCCTTTTCAATTGAACCAAACGCCTTCAATTTTTAATGTAACATTCATTTATTTATTATTATATTGTTTATTTTTATGAAACCGTGAGTTTTTTTTTTTTTAAAGATTTTCCATGCCAAATCTAGTTACCAGATCATACCTTGTGTGAGCCGAGCTTTTGTTCATTAGTACTGCGTCAATGAAATTTGGGACCCATTTATTTCAGCTTATTTTATGAAAAATTACTTATCTTTTTTAAAAAAATATACTTTGTGAGCTGTAATGATATTTATTTAAACTTTTAAAAATAATTAAAATCTGAAAAAAAGAGTAGATTTTTAGATTTTCTATTATTTTAAGAAGTTATTTTGAGAAAATTCTGAAAATAATGTAAATGAGAGAAAGTGTTTTAAAAAGTTGGGATATAGGAAGATATTATAAAATTTTAAATTAATTAAATAATAAATTATTTTTATAAAATAAAATTAGTAAAGATGTGTAAAATTTAAAAAAATTAAGTAATAATCACTTTTTAATTAATGTAACCAAATATAAAATAATATCTTCTTTTTTATATAAAATCTCTATAAAATAATTTTTTTATAACATTTTTATACTATCTAAGAATTACATATTTTTTAATTTTAAATAAACAGGCCTTTGAATATGCACTTAAATTGTTTACTGTTTCCATTAGATCATATATTAAGTTTCAACGTTTGGTCATTGAAAAAGAAGAAGACGTAAAGGAGCCGTTCTCTGAATAATTAGTAACAACCTACTCTTTCAATTCTTTTTGCATTCTGATTATATTTCATTGGCGGTTCCCACTGAAACAACGCAAGACACCGAATTTGAATATTCATTTCACATTCTAAGGTACAGGTAAGTACCCCAAAACCTTTAATAAAGTCATTTTTATATGCAATATTTAATAAAGCCATTTTTTAAATAGGCGTATAATAACTAACCATATGTGTGTGTGTATATATATATATAATTTCATCAGCTCGTAAAAATAAGTGGGCTCAATAAATTTTATCAGTGTTAATATATAAAAATTATACTCATTCCGTTAAAAAATGTAAGGCATTTTTAATCGAATCTAATCTTCAACTAATCCTATCATTCTATATTAGACACCTTATAAAAAATATAAAATTATTATCAATAGAGGTACTTTTGAAAAAAAAAGACAATAATTATACCTTAAAAACTAAAAATATTTTATATTTTTTAATATCCAACTCTTTAAAAAATACCTTATATTTTTAAACGGACTTCTAAAAACATCTCATTTTTAATTTTGTTATTAAAAATTTATATAATTAATTAATGAAAAGTTGATACGTGCCTAAAAATATCTTCCAACTGAACTAATCATATATAGTTTTTGCGTAAGGAAGAGGAAACGAAAAAGGAAAGTTGCATAACTTGACAAAGACTGATATCAATGCTATACATATATTTAATAAATTAATTAATTGCACTACTAAATCTGAAGGAGTTAATTAATAGACAACCAGAAATTAGGCAAAAGCCTTTGTCTTCGTCACACATACACACACATATATAGAAAAAGAAACAGCAGAGAAGAAGAGAAGAAAAATAAAATAGACTCAATGTATAGTATCAATGCACATGAGCGCTTGTGAGATTCTAATTGGACACGGTCCAAGTCTAATATCAAGGGCTAGCTAGCTAGTCTAATTGACAAAAAAAATTAAAAAATAATTCAGATAAGCATATATGTACTGTTTTCTCTTTAAGCTTGTTCAACCTCAAAATTCATATATCACTGCATTGATTTACAGTGACAAAAGCACGAGCCTGAACAATCTTATTCGTCTCAATCACGACACGATTATGAGACACATTTCTGAGAACATGTTGAGGAAATGCGTTACCCGACACGCTTAATGAATATTGAACATGTCGAATAAGGTTAGGGAAAAGCAAAATTTTGCTGAAATCAACTGTCCATGAAGTTCCATTCCTCATGGAAGAGCCTCTCGCAATCGTGGTCTTCAAGCTCATGCCATTTACATTGTTGCCATCAACCACAACTTGATCGATTTGCTTGAACGGACCGTTTGATTGGTCCAAGTGAACAATTTCAACCCCGGAATTGGACCCACTGAACATGTTATTCACGATGTTGACCCCACTTATCACTCCACTTTTTGATTTCAAGACGACATTGGCATCTCCGAGGAAGAAGCTACCTGAAATGTGAAGCTGAACTGGGTCTTCAACAACAATGCTCGTGTAATCCATGTACGAATTCACAATCCTCGTTTGTGTCAAACCAGGCAGTTTCACATAAATTCCTGTGCCTCCGAATGAAGTGGCTTTATTGTAACAATGTACTCCAGAAATTGTGTTGGCTTCACCGGAAATCATGATACCTACGGCGGCGGAGAACACGACGACGTCGGTTACTACATTGTCGTTGCTGGCGAGGGTTATCCCGGTCCCGGAGAAGCTCCTCTCGTCGGGGTCGCTACCGGCGGTGATGTGCTGACCGAGGAAGGTGTTGTGGATGAAGGTTTCATGACCACCTTGGACCTGAATTCCGTGGGTGGTGAAGTGAGTGATGTAACAGTTGTGAATGGAGATTCTGAGAGAGTTTATGATTGAAATGCCTCGGCCTTTGAAGTTTGCATCTAATAAAAGATCTTTTATGGTTATATACTCGTAATTGTATTGTGATGGTGTTGGTGAAGCCTTCTGGGTTTGTTTCCCTTTGTTTGATGTTTCCGATAAATCAATCAGATACCCATTTGGTGGAAAATTCTCTGATGCTCTTATAGTTCCACCATGGATCTGTAGAAAAAGAGAATAGTCATATCGTTAATAAAATTCAAAGGGGACTAATTTTCTTGCAAAATCTACCAAACGTTCTAGCTCATGTTGGACTAATAAACCAGTTCATTTCCTGTTAATCTACCAACATTATGACCAAAGAGTACCACGTGGCAGAATATTAAAAACAACCAAGAACATAAAAACTTGGCATAATATTGGCATTGTTTACAATTGTTATTACCATGAGGTTGCCAAATCCGGTGGCCGGCAGCCGTAGGGGGTGGCTGATGAGGTAGTTTCCGCCCTGGAGATCAATCTGAGCACCGCCCAGGTCAGTAACACCGGGAATCAAGTTGTGTTTCTTTCTGGGAATTCTGATCGCATCTTGTATGGCTTTAAGAAGAGCTTCAGTGCTGTCTGATTTTCCCGTTGGATCTGCGCCGTACGATGTCACCAGAAATATCCCAGATTTCTTCTCACCCTGCAACCAAACATCCATCAGTATGTATGTACATATATAATATGATGTATTTAGAACACAGAGGAATAATTGATTACCGGTGGTGATGGGGTTGAAGAAGAAGGAGGAGATGGTGAAGCAACTTTAATGGAGGTCTTGAGAGAGTCTAGTCTGAGAAGGGCTTCTTGATAGTGGGCATTATTGGAGAAAGATGGGGGAGATATGTGATTTTCTCTAGAGAGAGAGATTGTAATGAGAATGGACAGCTCAAGGAGGAAGATGATTAGAGCTTTTGTGGGCTCCATTAATGACCAGCTTTAGATATTTCTGGTTTGGAGAAGAGGAGGAGGAGGTTGGGGGAGGAACGCTTTATAGCCGCGTGCAAGTGTGTGTGTGTGTATATAAGGAAGCGGCAAAGAAAAAAATGTGGCATAATATTTCGTGGTATTGCAATAATTATGGTGCGTATCATGCATCACAAATATAAATGTAAATTTTATTTTTTATATAATTTTTAATTTTACATAAACGATATATTTTCATTTTATTTTAATAATTTTTAGCCCAAGTATCAATTGATCTCTATATATTGATTTAGTTGATTGTTCAAAAAATAATTATTTAATGAATATCAAATACTTGTTGGTAAAAAAGAATAGAATATCAAATATATTTTGTTAATTTTTTTTTATTTTTTATTGTATATTAATAGAACAATTTCTTTTGATATTATATATGATTTTTACTGCTGCAATTCTCAATCTTCACCTTGATTTGGTGGATTTTTTAAAAATTTATTATTTGATAAATTAAAATTATATATATATATATATATTTAGTAATGTGAATTTTATATTTTTAATTGTCGATAGAGAATTTTAATTTTTATGTCAAGAGGCTATATTTATATTTTTTATACAATTATTTAATTACCATCTCATGTAAATATTGAATGATTTAATTTTGTGTCATGTATATACTGTTATACTTCATTTTATTTGGTTAATATTTTTTTTATTTTGAATCTACAAACTAGAATGAATCACATTGTCGTACGTGGACTTATTGATCATTTACTGCCTTTTTTAATTGATATTTGAAAACAAAATATTTGTATATCAAAGTTCAATAACAATTTTGTCCATATATCAATTTGATCGGTCCGTTGTTTTTTGGGGAAAAAAATCTCTTTGATTGTTAAAGAAATAACTTAACAAATTTTAAAATCTCAATTTACATGATTATATCACTTGAGTTTTATTATTTTCTACTAGAAATTATCTTCCTAAAGTTGGCACGAGAATAAGGGGTTCTCAATACTTAAACAAGTGGTTGAGAATAATTTAAATCTCAATTCTAATATATCTAGTAATCTTAGTTTTACTCATATACATAAGAGATAATCTCTACTGTCTACTAAACCTACTCCTTGTACTCACCAAACAAAAATTATAAACTCTCTTGATATATTGTATTTATTATTCTTAGTCATGTAAATACATGTAATAGGTGCGAGAAAATATGGGGCTGCTTTGTAAATATCATTGATCGATTAATAAGCATGCAAAAGGATTTCGTAGCTTGGATATTCTCTAGACAATTAGAATTTTGATATCATTAAGTTGGCTAATAAATTTTATATTTGATTTAACTGTTGATTTTAAAGATGGTCACGGTGGTTTGCACGAGAAAGAAAAAAGGGTTGAAGACTAAATTTTCACATTTTAAAATAACTAGTAAGTATCCTTGCACGGGACATATGAAAGTAATTTTTTAGTATAAGTTATTAGTAATTTATTACTATTAACATGTGAATAATAAAATAAAATTTTGATATTTTTTAAGAATTAATTAAACAATTGCATTGTGAAGGAACCACAGAGTTGGTGTATAATCTCTTCATGTGGCTGGGAAAGCATAGAGCAGTTAAGATATCATTGAGGGGACACATCTTATAAATTGAGATATCATGGGGGGAGTTGAGATAACATATGAAGGTTAATATGAAAGGCAACATGCAAACATAAGGACCTAAACATTAGGGGAAGTTAAATTCAGGGGTAGTTGTTAGAATAAGAAATTATTAAATAAATTAATTTAAACATAAATAATTGTAAAATATGATACAGCACTAATTTCAAAATACAAAATTAAAGAGAATATGATATGATATTAGATAATAGAGATCATGGGATTTGAAAATCATTCATGATTTAAAAATTTTGCATTTAAATCTAAATTTTATACATTTAAAATTTAAATGTTTAAATTAATAGGTATCAAAAGGTTAGTTATTAGAATGAGAAAATCTATTATACTAATTAAATCAATTGATTTAAATATAAATAATTTTAAAATAAGATACCTTACAATTTTCAAATTCGAAAATAAAAGGGTAATGATATATTAAAGAGTAGAGATCATGGAATATGAAAGTTAATCATGATTTAGAAATTTCATATTTAAATCTAATTCAATTTTTTTCAGATCATGGGTATTTTCTTCTTCTGTATTTTGATAAGAATAAAGATGAGTTGATATGTAATTTTTGTATTAGGAATTTTAGATTTTATAATGACATAAAGTGATATGGAAGTTAGGATAACAAGAGTAATGAGAGAGAAAAGTTGAGAAACAAATGAGGAAATTAGTAAGGGATTTAAGATAATGGAATACAATTATGATAATGGAGATAATGGAGTGAAAACTAAGAAACAAATGATAAATAAACTAAGAGTATAAATCAAAATTAATTTCTTAAACCAATACTGGGTGACTTCACAAAATGGCAGGATTTGAAAAAGTAGGACACTTGTCATCTATAAATATAGGCTTGTTATTCTTCTATTATACACACACATAGATTAGGTTAAAGAAAATATTTAAATTTTTAAAGAATTGTAAAAAATTTACTAGGATTTGGAAATCTAAATCCATAAATTATTATCTGCCCAAATAACGGAGATTTGGTGCAAATCTATGTCCAAATATCTCTGATCCTAACAAAACATTACTTCATATAGTATTTGCTTGTTCATTAGATTATAAAATATTTATCATAGATTAGTATTAATACTGTTTAGGCCTGAAAATATCTACCTTTAAATAAAAGTTAAAAATGCAAGATGTGAAGAGTTAGGCTCAATAAAATATCTAATGAAGCAAGGCCTGATTCATTTAGAATAGACATTCTGAACTAAATGAGTGTTAATTCATAAAGGAAACATAACCCTTAAGACTTAAAGCGACTAAGTCAAGAGAATCGTTATTTGGACATGGGATCATTACTTGGATGTGCCCAGAAATTTGCAAGACCAAACCTATTAGGAACAAATATTTCAACATGAAGCATCCAAGCTATTAGTTTTGCAAACATAATAACCTCAAACGAGCATTATAAATAAAGTTCCATAGAGGACATAAAGGCAATAACAAAAAAGCAACGAATAATAATACAAACCAAACATTTTGTTACTCAATTATCTTTTATATCACTTTATACTTAAGATATAGTTACTCTTTTCAGTTTTCTTGTAGTTATGTAACTCTATAACTTTACACTATTAATCAAGCTACTTTTTTCTCATTATTTGTTGCATCTTTGCATTTGAGAAAATTGAAGTAAAGAAGTTTGGGAACCCTTCTCTATATTGAGACTTTGAGTTTCTAGCACCCTTGAAAAATTTATTGTCACAAACATATATTAAAATTTATGGAAATTCGCATCTGAAGACCTCTAGAGCATATTTAAATGTAATTAAAATTTATCTTGAAAAGACAAATTTATCCTTAAACTTAAAAAAAAAAACAAATATCCCTACTATTATCAATTGTTAAAGCTCCGATGGCATGATCATTGGCCACCAAACCACTATCGGGGGTCATTGATGGCCTTTAAATCTCTAAGGCATGGCTAAAGTGGGTTTTCAATCCATGACCCCTTGGTGTGCTAAAAAGAATATAGTCACCAAGTTACCAAACACTTTTAGTTATAATAGGCAAAAACAAATACACACACATAACATCTTTGATTTTCAAGGCCACTTCTTCATTACAAACACAAGGTTGACTTGTCAATTCCTTAATAACACTCATTAGTTATTATTGTATAAATGTTACTTGTTATTTTGTTATAACTAAAAGTATTTGGTAGTTTGGTGGCTATATCCGTTTTAATGTACCATGAGGTTATGGGTTTAAATTCTTCTTAGAGATTTGATAGCCACCAATGTAGAAGCTCCAATAACCATTGGCAACTATGTTGTCGGTGCTAGAGCTTTGGCAACCAGTAACAATGGGGGCATTTTAAAAAAACAATTAAAAATAATTTTGTCTTTTCATAACAAATTTTAATTATATTTAGGTTTATTGATCTTGCAAAGCAAATTCAGATTCTTTTAGCCCTTTTGGTAATAAATATGATCCAAAGTTCCTCAAATGTGATTTCCCCTAAAATTTACAACAAAACATAAAGCATCCGGCTGATTTTTTAAAAAAAAAAACTGTTTGATGACTAATTAATATTTAAAAAAATACCTGACTTCAATTATTATTTGATAGAGAAAATAATTTTATAAAAAATGGGGAAGAATAGAAATTAAACGTTCAACCCAAAAGGTAAAAGATGGCGGGTGCATATAATAGTAGTTAGTTAGGAAGTTAGACTATGGACGAAGTTTCTTTAAGACGAAGATACATTCATACGAAGCAGAAGGGAGGACACGATTGGATATTCAAGGGTAGGAGTGGAAATTATGAATATTGACCGTATTTGACGCTAATTCAATGCTTCACTCTGGAAAGTTCAGCTTCAAGTCTCGAGCATCTTTCATAATTAACTTTGATTCTCGCAAGCAAATTATTTCACCGCCAAAGACCAATAATTACAACAAAAATCTGACAATTGGGTATCTTAAATCTTCTTCTTCTTCTTCTTTTATAGCATAATTATAGCATAAGGAGCAGACTCTGTTAATAACAGAAATTATTTCCCTTGACATACAAAACAAGAAAGACAGCCCTCTTATAATTAAATTGTTGCTTACATAAGGGTTAGAATTGGATTTCCCAACTACTTACTTGAAAGTCACCCATGCCAACTTTTGTTAGCTAGATATCTTAAATTTTAATCTATCAATTAAGCAATTATTTGACTCTAAATGTTCTAAAAAGGGATTGTGCATTCATTAGCTAAGCAGATACGTTTATCCCACAAATCCTTTTATATCAATTATTGGAATTAGCCACTCTCTCTGGTCTAAAATGTGAACCTCTTTCAACAATTATCTACATATCAATGAAATTCATATTCTCATGAAATCATGTATTTTTTTCTTCTTTCTTTTTATTCTTA